CAGCAAGAATGCAAATATGCATATTTCCCCAAATTGTCACTTTTGGCAAGAGAAGAAGTTCAGCTTGGGAAAACAAGATTGATAGATAGGAAGTGTGTAGATTGAAGATACAAGCTTTAGGAGAAAACGAGTCGGAGAAGGTGTTTGTCGAAACAAGGTAACACAAGCTCCGTGTTTGATGTGTATAAAGCTGAGTGAGAGGAACATCACCCTGCTGTCTCCTCTACTTGTTTACTTCAGCACGGAACCCCATCGGGCCACCCCACATGGAACCCCACACACATGGACCCACAGCCCGCACAGACAAACAGAGGGACAGAGAGAAAGGTAGTGTGAAAGAGAGGAGAGACACACCTCATTAATCTTCCTGGCACTTTCCACTCCGCGGCTGTCTGTTTCGCCAGCGAGTTTACTTTTAGGCGGAGGTGAAAGTGACTGATACCCAAACGGCCTCCTGAAAATACGAAATGTTCAACATCACCCACAAGTAATAATTTACACAGTTTCTAATTTACACGCCATCTTATTTTCCAAACTCTTTCATTCTCTCTGCATTTTCTCATCTATTATAGTGGAATTCCAAATATGTTTGGACAAATACTTTCTCCTCCTGGCCGGGGTTTTTAAGGAGTGAAGTCTATTATGACGTGTTGAAGAGAGCACATCACAACTTACATGTACAGTTAGCGAGTTTTCCTGATAACATTTTTGGTCTAAAGATGGCCCTCCTGAAGTGCTCTGACTCACTCACCCCAAGTTATTTTACTCAAGTGAAAGAATTCTGTCTGCAGACACAAACCAGGCAGGCAGACTTGTCCACCTTATAAAACGGTGTGGCATGTCCGTTCGTTCTATTAAAGCAGACAAAAATAAATGTTTCAACCAGGCAGTTGTCTGGTGGTGCATTAAAAGGAGTGTTCGACCTTTTTCCGGAAATATACTTGCTCGCTGCCTTGCAGAGACGAGAAGATTGCAGTCTTGTCCACAATGTGAGGTTACCAGGCAACCAGCAAACTCACTACTCCTGGCACAAAACTCCACATAAAACCACAACTTGTCATTTTCACACCTTGCTTTTTAATTATTTTTTTCTGTTATGTATTATACAAACAAGATACAATGAGCTTTAAAGGTTTTGGCAGGTCGACTTTTTAACCTTCGAGTACAGCCAGGTTTGTTGTTTCCCCCAGTTTCCAGTCTTTATGCTAAGCTAAGCTAAGCTAACCGTCTCCTGGTCCCAGCTTCAGTTTTAATGCATAGATTTGAAAGTGGTGTAAATTGTCTTACTTAAATCTCAGAAAGAAAGCCAAAATGTGTATTTCCCAAAATGTATGTTGTCTGCTTAAGCTTTGAGTTAAGTCTGTTTGTTGTTGTTTTCAAGTCTAATTTTTAAAAAAGAGACAGCGTCACAGACACAAGAACAAACAGTTCTCCCCTATAAGAAGACATTGTAATTGAAATACCACCACATATAAAGGCTTATTATTCTTGACAAGCTCACATTCTCTCACACAAACAAAGGCGGGGACAGCAGTCAGGCAGCCCGTCCCAGGCTGGGCTCCAGTGTGGAGGGATATCAGACTTGTGAATTGTAGCAGGGAGTCTGAATGACAATGGGTCTGGGATCCCTGTAGGAGATTGTTATGGGCAACAGGACCAGGCAGCGGCTGCTGTGTGCAGGAGTCAACAGCCCCAATCCCCCACCTGGAACCTGGAGCCCAGACAGCCGGGGGGGGAGGTGGAGCCGCCGCCCTGACCACGGCTACAGGCTGCAGGGACAGAGGAGCCCCCGGCCCAGACGGATCACCCTGGACTGTGTTGTCTCTCCGCCCTGTTGGTGACCTGCATGCGCCCCTCCCTTCCATTATAGTTGCCCAAACCAGCCTTGTTAAATTCCCCTCCATTTGCTCCCATCTACTACCAGCTCCTCCTCTTCAGGACCCTTTTGACCACACCCAGCTATCCCCACCTAAAACTGCTGTGCTCCGGTTTAATCACCTCTGGATGTGGGTGGAGGTGGGTGGGGGCTTTGAAGGAGTGGATGCGAAAACCACACATTACATCATGTATTTACTTATCCAGGGTTGCTAGCGAGTGACATGGAGAGTGGAGCTGGGGGTGAAAGGTGAAGGATTCAGGAGTAAATGAGTCATGACCAAAACCAAAGGGTTGTATTCTGGGGACACGGTTGCTTGAACACCGAAAGGTTCACAACACCTCTATAAGGACACTAACATATCTGTGGTTGGAGCGTAAAAGTTCCAAATCTCTCACACAAACACCTGGGGTTCATGTGATTGCTACAGACAAATTTCTAACCTAATCCTCAGAGGCTTCCCAGATGTACACGTCTTGAACATAACACCATAACATTTCCCAGAATACAGAGTAAGCACTTTAAGATTATTTGCTATTAATGAAAACAATTAGGGGCTCAGGCTTTTGGTATCCTGCCAACTACTGTTTCAACATTTTTCCTTCCTTGCAAGTGGAATTTGAACTCTCTAAATTGCTTCCCTTTAGTAACAATGCCGTAAACACCCTCCAATCCCCTCTCAAACATCTGCCCATGGTCAACATCACCTCAGTAACTGCTAGTGACATGTGCCGCAGATTGGCCTTGTAGTGCGTCCAGCCACCCAACCTTAGAAAGGTGGTGCAGCTCAGAGAGACCAAACAGACCCAGTGAAGTCAATCAGCAGACTGTTCCATTTACCGCGAGGGCGGGGTTACTTCCTTTTAATCGAGAGATCCTCAGTCCTGAGAAAATGGAGAGGGTGAAACAGAGGTAAAAAAAAAAAAGAAAGATAGAGGACGTGAGGGAGAAAGCAAAAGAAAACAGAGGAAGGGTGGATGGACTTCCACTCATTTATCTCTCATGTCCCAGCAACCCTGGCCTGTCTGTTGGAGCGGCAATGGCCCGCGCGGAGACATCAAGCACATTCCAAGAGTCGGCCCAATTACGGGCAGATGAGGGGCAGTTCTCTTTGTTTAAGAACAAAGCCAGAAGTGACACAACTGGTCTTTAAAGGGAGCTCTCACAGCCGTGGCTGAAGAGAAGGGGGGCCCAGTGGGTGGGGGAGGTGACCAGCTGGTTATAAATATCTATTTGGTCAGTTACTGGAAGGAAAATTTGCAGTTTGTTTGTCATCCACTCATCCAGGTGGTGGGCCTGGTGGTTGCAAAACATCAGAGCAGAGAGAGAGAGAGGGGCCAACCTGTTTCAGTTTGACTGCCAGAGATGTGGAATTTGACTAATTCATATATGAAAGCCACGTGTCATCCTCAAGTGTGTACCTGCAAGTGAGAGAAAGCTCTTGGCAAGAGCTCGTTGCATATTTAATCCAGTAATTATCCTGGCCGTACAGATAAAATGTTACTGCAAAGTGAATTATGTCTTGCATTTATAATTACGAAATAGTGGAGCATTATTTTAATGGTTGTCATCTGGAAAAAAAACTATATTAGAACATTCATGTTGAGTTGACTGGGATTGCAGAACATTCTACATTGAGCAATTTATAACTAATTAAGGAAAGAAAAGTTATTCCAGGGCTTTTGACCACAGACAATTTTGTTCTATTGTCAAAACTATGAAATGGAATTATAAGCTTTTGTGGGCTTTTGAATTGGGAATAACTGTTGGGGTGACTCAAACAGTTAACACTAAACCCTAATAGGCTAGAAATGTGCCTGTGAAAAGTATTTTTGTTGCTAGTGGGTGGATAGTGAGTTACAATGGTTTTCAAGTTTTCACAGTGGGCAAAAACATCCACAGAAGCATTTCAAACCACTTATGCAGGATAATCTCCTTCTCAGCTGTCCATCCATAATCCCAGAAGTTTCTCTTTTTTTTTTCAAAATAGAGCTACATTATGCAGATTCCACATTGTACTATTGCCTAAAAAAATCTAAAGCTCCTCCGGAAGCTGCAGTGTCTCATTGTGAAAGACAACATTTTACACATCCATCTTCCAAACCTACCAGGGGTGTGAATTTCTTGCTAAAAAGACTGATCTGGGGTGAAGAAACAGTGCTACAATGCACATTGTGCAAGTAGTTATTGATGGCCAGAAACATGGAGTATTGGACTGCAGAGGGGCGGGACAAGTTTAAAGTTTAATTCCCACTCTGTAGTAAATTAGAACACAGCAGGGTAATGTCTGTTTATCCCAAATACAGCTGCCTGGGCCTCTCTCCTATCCCTCTCATTCTCTCCCCACAGTCCACACCATGGCCCCAGGATCACCTGGACCAGCAGTACACACACAAAACACACATTATGCGAACACATGCACTTGCATAAACAAATAAACCAGCACATGCATACATGCATGCATATGCATACAGATACAAACACAGACTCACGTAAGCACATGCAGAGATGTAAACACACTGGTTGTGCACTAGAACAGATACATTACAAAATAGATTTTGAAGTTCAATGACACTCGTGGCTTGTGGGCTGAACCTAAACTGAGAGGCAATTACTTTGTGGCTGCTAGCCTCATTTTGATTTTCAGTAAGGGGATGATTGTATCTATCTAGATTGTATCTTAAAATAGTATATAAGAAGTAATTTGTAGAATGAATGTGTGTTTATTTTGGTCTATTTAAAATGCTGTGGCTGTAGCAGAGTTTGCCTTCATGCTGTGTTGGTCTGTTCTTGTTACTTTGGCCACCCTTCTGACTACAAAAGTTGCAAAAGTTTGTAATAGGGTTTTTAGACAGTACATTTACTCTAATCTCTCCAAAAAATAGCAGGCCAGCAGGGATATTGCTTTATTTTGAGTTGGTATTTGCTGCCAGCTAGTGGAGGCTCAATTCATTGCATGTTATAAACCATTAAATTAAGACGAATAACCATTAATGGTTGTTTGTCTCCATCTGGTGCACAACAAGAAGAACGCAGTTTATGAGCGGACGGGATGTCGTCATGCTCGCGCAGTTTGTACGTGCGCGTTCACGATTGAATCCTGGGCTCAATGCGTCAGCTGTCAAGCAATACACACGCGCATCGCAGTACTGTCTCTGTGCAACATTTGTTTGGACAACGAATGAACCTGAAATTCCACAGAGACTGGAGCACCCACAAAGTATGGTGACTGCAAATATTACGCCTATCAAGCTGGACTAAAGCGACCCGGTGACAACTAAAGTGGTTTGACGATGGTTTAACATTTTATTGGTTTAAGAGGAGGAGAAAAGGGAGAGAACAGGTTTTCCGGTTGCAGACCTGCTAATAAGCTAGCCGCGGAGTTCTACAGCCGGCTTCATTAGCTTAGCTTAGCTAGCGAGCTAACAAACTGATGTAGCGACAGCTGTGGGGCAAAAACGGACATGCGGTGGCAGTTTGTCTGGAGGTCTTTCATTTCTTCAGTATGACATGTTGTGAAGTAATGGTGAGAGCTTTAACGTGAAGTGGCAGACGAGGAGGTAGTGTGTGGTTGGGTTGCTCGGGTAACGGCAGTTATGAGCAGTTTCAATGTTACAACCAAAACCTCCACGTTCAGCTCTTCATTAAGCGCCGACAGGAAAGGCTCGCTGATCAACAACAACAAGGAGTGGGATTTGGGGAGCGATGTGTTTCCGTGCTGTCACGAGATGATTCCCATGGACGACACGATGCAGGCAGGAATGTCCTCGGTCCAGTCGGGACTGGACGGACACCTGCCGCTCCTACACGCCAGACACCACAGCGCCCAGGGCGGGCTGCTGTTGGACCTGAGCTCACCGACGGCCTTCCTCGACAGCGGCTCTCTGGAGTACAGCGACACCGACGGCAACAACGCTGGCCCGTTGTTCGAGAGGAGGAAGAGGTCGCGGTCCAACAGCTCCAGACACCGCTTCAACGAGGTGGTCACGGAGCTCGGCGCGGAGGAAGTGCGGTGGTTTTACAAGGAGGACAAGAAAACTTGGAAACCCTTCCTCGGGCACGACTCGCTTAATATCGAGCGTATGTTTCGGAAATACTGTGAGCTGAACCCTGGTGCGGCGGGCTCCCAGAACGGCGTTGGGGATGAAGATTGCGGAACTAACGGTGTGGAAAGCAGGGGACTTAACAGCGCAGTGCCGGTGGAGACGAGGACCAGCAGTGTGCACGGAGGCCACGGGTCCGTGGACACATCCACCGTGTCCTCGGAGGAGAGGGACCCTGACAGCGTTGAAATCAACGTTGAGCCCGTTTGTGTCCGGGGAGGGCTCTACGAAGTGGACGTCAAAGAGAAGGAATGTAATCCTGTTTACTGGAAGCGTGAGTGTCATGGGAAATATAACGTAAACAAAGTCTACAAATGTATGTTTTTGCTTTGCGTCAGTCACAAGTTGTGTAGTTTCTGGTCTCAAAAGCATCACTAAGTGCATTTCCATAGGCACTGATTCCTGCTGTGTGCCTATACCTCATATATACTTAATATTCTGCAGTATAATGGCTGACAGCATGCAGATGAATGGCCCACAGGTCATACAGTGACTCATTGACAGCAACGTGCAATCTGCTCCCCCTTTAAAGATACAAACCAGCATTTGATTACCCATTTAGTTGAGTTACTGACTGACTCCTGCGTTGTTTTGCGGTTCTTTCACTGGCTAAGTAATTACTTCCTCTTGTCTTTTGGGAACATCCAAGCAACCCAGGAAGTCAATCTATTAGACTCAGCTGACCTGTGCTAACTAATTCATGGACATTTCCAGGAAAAGGCCCGGGAACAAATGAAGTCGGTCACCAGTGTAGAGCCTCGGCAAACCCGACCTCGATGAAAGGGTTCATGGGTAGCCGGTTCTTTTGAAGGTTGATGCCAAGTTACATTTAGAGAAGCAGTTATTTTCCTCAATGTTCCTGCTGTGGACGTTAAGTCCTTTTGTAGTCCGCTCAGACATTCCTGTGCCTTTTCAGCCTGGCCTGTACCACTGAAAACACAATGTCATGTTGACACCTAATGCCCTGTTGCACTACTGAGGTTGAAGGATGTTATTTTAAAAAGTCAAAAGCATATCAGTTAGGACTGGAGAGAGGTTTGTTCATGCAATAGGAGATGTGGAGAGGCGGGGATGTTGATATACTGTAATCCAAGAAGTAAAACATCCACACAAATACAATGGACTGAGGTGTTGGGCCGTGTAAGAGCTTTATGTTTTAACAAGGTAAAAAGGTCACTTAGAACGTGAAACATTGTGTTCTGTGAAGCGCACAGACTTATCTTAACTGGCCAAACACGAACCACCTTAACAAACGAGTGAATAGTCGTTACTGTGAGCCTCTTATCAGTGTGTCTTTCTTGTGTGTCTATCTTAGCGTGGTTTCGTGGGCCTCTTTGGCCGTAGATAAGAGCGTGCTCATGTGCTTTCATACCTTTTCCAGATGAGCAGTCTCACTGTTCAGAAATGAGTCTGTCTCTTTGCACAGTACTGCCTGTACAATCTTATTCACCACCAGAGAGTCGGTTAATAACGCTGCTCACTGTAATCAAAACTGTCCCCGCCCCATGAGCCGCTGAGACTTGCCCCCCCCCCCCCCCCCTGGATTTGCCAGACTTGTTGAGTTAAGTGTCGTCCAGAACACATTCTGAAATTCCAAGCAATGCACTCAGTTACTAAAAAGTGACCAAAGCAGTTTAAATCCAGCATTGTTTACGCCCGTGTTTACAAGCTCGCAGGCTTCCTCTCCCGTGCCTTTGTTGGCACGTCGCTGCATGTCTTGGCGTGTTACCACCACCTTTTAGATGAGAGGTATAGTGGGAATCATTTGGCATCCACATTCGTAGAAAAAACAATGCCACGAAGAGCTGAACAAAATCTCAAGTTTCGTAATTTAGATAAGTATTCCACCACAGACTACAGCTCTTGTCCCAAGAAGGCTGGCTCCCTAAACATCCATCCCTACGGTTAAGTCGTTCTTTTGTATCTAAATCCATGCTATTTCTTTTTTCTTTTTCTTTTTTTTTTTACTGTCTTACAGAACAAGACCATATTCCAGTCATGAGGGGCCAGTGGTTTATCGACGGCACCTGGCTCCCGCTGGAGGAAGAGGAAAGTGACCTCATCGAGCACGAGCACCTGAACCATTTCCGCGGGCATCAAATGCAGGACACCTTCGAGACGGACCTGCTGGTCAGGACCGTCGACAGCAAAGATGGTGAGAGAAACGGGGACGGGGAAGAGTAGAAGAACACGGATAAGGCTGTGTGCTTTCAGGAAATGTGACAGACGCTCCTCAATCTAGAAAGATCTTTTAAACAACACAGCACTGAAGCATCCACTCTGGTTACTCAAGTCTGAATAAATAACTGCAGCTGATGACTTCATGATAACTACATTAGAGATTGAATGTTGTGACGGAGTCAGTGTGCGGTTTCGGGGTAGAAACACAAGGCCAAAACACATTATTGCTCAATCGCCAGTATTTTACTGCTGCATTCGCTAACCCTGCAGTATTTTTAATGCAGGCAGGCAGGCAGTAACAAAAAAACACACATATATAGTGCTGTGTTGGTACTCTCATAGTCATTATTACTAATGAATCCCATTACGAGTAAAGTCAACAGTTTCACAATAAACCAAAAGGAAAGCGTTGTGCGTCATATATATATATATATATATATATATATATATATATATTTATTTTTATGTGACAACCCTATCGATTCAACGTGGAGAGAAATGAATGGAGCAGGTGCTTCCATTCACGTGAGTGTAGGTTTTGTCATGTCATCCTCCCGATGCAAAGCAGGTGCAGCTTCGTACACGAAGAGGGCGTTCTCTGTCTGGCTGAGGCGAAACGTAGCGGGCTTTAGCTGCGAGAGGCAATAAGAAAGAGGCTCTTTGATTCAGCCGTCTCCTTAAGGCAGCCAGATCTACAGGACCTTCACTTGGTGATGAATGTGTGGGTGTGTGAATGTGGCAGATAAACGGAGCGAAGCACGGAGAGAGAAAAAAAAGATGCAGCAACTGTTAAAAGGGAGGGACAAAATGTTTAGTCTTGCAATCATTACAACTGAGAGACAAAGATCATCTGGAACATTTATGCAAATGTATAAATCATCAGCAAATTGCTATCAATCATTTTCAAGCCTTCAAGTTTCTAGCACACTGTGACTGACAGGATCACCCCCCCCCCCCCCCAGAATAAATGAAGTCCTATAAATAAAGATGTCAACAGAGCAGAAGAAAGTCACACTTCTCTGGGTCGGTCAGCCCGGCCTCGCATCGTCACCGTTTTGTGCGATGTGCTCGTAGCTGCCGGTACTTTCCTGAGCTGGATCACAGAACTCTTGAATGAAAATTGGAAGGTCAGCCCCGGTCCACAAGCACTCGTGTACATGTACACATGACACGAGTGGATCTCTACGTGGAAGCAGGCTTGTAAACAGAAGGCTCAGCCTCATAGCCGACTTGTACCTTTTTATAATTCTTCTCACCATATCATGAGGTGAGAAATAAGTACATACCCTTACAAAATACATGTCATTAAAACCTAATGCCCGCTGTATTTTTTACACGTTTCCTCTACGCATTAACTTGAAACAGCGAGCATCTGTTTTGAAACCCTCCTGCTGCCTCTGTTGGCAGATTGCTTTCCACTCCTATATTTAGCCGAGTGTGAAAGCAAAGTGAGTGATAAATCCTTTTAATTCACCTTGTTTTTCACCTTGTTTTGGTCTTTATTGCAGGGAGCCTTTACAGTAGAGTATTTCATCTTGGAGCTAATAATCTAAAGCACTCTGAGCCGTAAGCGGGCTACCTTGAACTGCATTACAATTGATAAATGGACCATAAAGCCAGTAAGCAGTACTGCAGTACATACATCCCCCCCCCCGCTATCTCCTCCCCTCCCCATCTCTACTCTCCTCTCCCGTCCTTCTCTGTGTCTGAGTAGCTAGCTGGCTGAGGCTAAAGGTTGGTAAAGCAGAAGGCAATATGGGAGGCCTACCAACATGCTATGCAGGCATAACATCATAATGTGGGCAGGATCACAAGGTACAAAATGTTCGTCTTCGTGATACAAATGTACTTTTGTTAATGAATCGTAAAGGACGAAGTCAGGACAGAAGTAAAAATGGTGTCTGCGTGATATAGTATTCTTTACTAAATAAAAGCTCACTAGTCGGTTTTAGTGCTATCCTAGTAGATCTTTCAGATATCGGAAGAAAAAAGAATTAATTGGAGGACTTCTGTCAACTCGAAATGATGAATTGTCCTTCACAAATGTTTTTCTTAATCACTGTGTGCGTGTGCGTGCGTGTGCGCGCGCGCGCGCGCATAGAGCAGTAAGCCCATTGTGGAAACTAAAGGGTGTGTCCCCGTCTGTCTATCAGACGGCAGAGGGAAAATAAATCATCTGTCAGCGTAATGCTTTTGGTTTGTTTGAGGTAGGCAAGGCCCACACGTGTGTTTGTGTGCACTACATATTTAACCGTTACATGAGGCTGGGAACACTGCATGGTTGATAGCAGACATGTGCTCGAAAGAACAATTGATCATCTACAAACCAGCTCTTGAGGTTTTTGAAATGTTTTGTCTAAACATGCCTTCAGGTGACCCAAAAGTCATGTAGTGTGATCTTAACCCCCGAGGCTGAGCATGCACTACAAGCTGCCACACCAATGAGTTTTTCCTCATCACGTAGATATTCCAGTCATTAGGGAACACATATTCATATTGATGGATCCATCAGTGCCGTAATGCCCAAATGGACTTTACCGATCGCTTTTACTGCAAACAAACTTCCTGTGCACTCAGCAGGTCTCTCCTCCTCCTCCTCCTCCTCCTCAGCCTTTCACCTCTGCTGAGGGAGACACTGCTGACATTTGCAAGTCAGATGTCTGTGTTATCACGGAATGAAGGATTTAGCCGAGTCTTGTAGACTTTGCTGATTTGATTAACAAATGCAGAGAAGGTCTTTTTAGATGTCAGACATCCATTTACAACGGATTCAGTGGTTCAGTGATCATATGGCTGCTGTAAGTTTTATTTGAACTGGTACTGAAGGTAGGGCAATCATTTGAATACAACACACATTTACCAATATCTATGACCTAATTAATAACTTATCTTTGATCTCCGTCCATTAGTGTTTATTTGTAAGTGTTGCTATGTGTGTTATTAAGATCATAGCAGACACACTTGTTTGGCTGCTTTTAAAATATGTTTTGATCAGTAAAATAGAATTGGATTTGGTTACCTTCGAACCATGAACTCTTGTCAGTGTAGCTTTTAATTTACTGACAGAGAACATTATTTACCATTTGAATCACTCGTACCGTAGCCTTTATTTCTCCAGTTACCACTAAAGCACAATTGTTTAACTCAATAACTTTCCAAAGAAAATAACGATTCACATCTTTACTCATCCCTCTCTAAAAATGCTACAGCTTACCCAATGTTTCCTCGACTGAAAGATTGTATTCAACCACACTGCATGTCATTTGTCTCACCTGTCAAGCTCCAAGTAAGAGTAATATTGTACTCTCACAGATCTATTTGTATGTTTGTTGTCATTATGTTCCTTAATATACAGTATATTATTATTATTATCTAGTATCCTATGTGTTAACCCAGTTGGAAACATAAGTGCTACGAGATGCTGTCAGTGACTTTTGAGGTTTTGTTTGTAGTTGTAGGTTTTTTTTTTTTTATATTGTTTTCTCCTTATTTTAGTCATGCACTAATGTGGCAAAGAAACTTCCACCTACTGTATACAAGTTTGTTATTAACAAACTAAATGTTTTCCAATGATACTGCCTTTTTTTTTTTTTCCCCAGAAGAGTTTCAGTGTCTTCCACATTTGTCAAACGTCTTGACGTGTTGATCTTCACAGTGAAGACAGTAGCTTTCTGTAATGAGTGTAAAGCAGACGCTCCGCTAGTCATCGTGTCAAGCAGCGCTGCACTTTTTGACATTGTCTTAAGGTTAGCCCAGGCTCTGTCAGTGGTAACCTGATAGCAGCGCTACTTGATAGGAGTGATCAGGAGTGATGACAGCGGTAGCCTGTGTGTGTGACTGACGCCAGAATCATAGCCATTACTCACTCTCTCTTGGTTGTTAGTTCTCTCCCACCTGCCCCCTTTCTACCTCCCTTTTCTGTTCAAATGGAGTGGATATCAGACGAGTGCTAAAACTACATGTCACAAGCGCAAACGCTGCCAAGGTACTGTAAAATACCAAGTTATTTTCTGTCTTTATTTGTACCTCTGCTGTATCAGACCTGCTAGCTTGTGTGCTCTCTCCTAGTCGATCCTAGATCCTTACGGAACTAGATTTTCCTCTCTGTTGTGGTTCAGACCTGTTCAGTCTAATATTTCAAACTAGACCTAGGCTCAGTTAGAAATGGTTGTGTATAAATGGATTTTGGCTGCTCTGTCAGTGCTCCATTGCAGCCCTAACTGGGCCTAGTCGCTAGAGCTTCTCCCTTTTTGTGCTGTGACCCAGAGTTTGGTACGACTGCTGCTGCTGCTTTTTGAGGAAACTTTTCCTTCCCGTCTCTCCTCTCCTTTTACTGGGATAGTGAGTTAGATAACATGGTTCACTCGACTGCTAGGGCAAGACCCTTTAAACCAGTAGATGTGAAACAAGAAAGGCTGGTCCTAAAAAAGCCACCCTTCTTTACCCCATTTTATCTCTCCGGCCCCGTCTCCCACCTCCTCATTGCTTTCCTTTCCTCATCTCCCTTCTGGCGGTTTGACCGCCATTAATGAACCATCCCCAGTCCTCGCTCTAAGAGCAGCGAACAAAGCTCTCTGTTGAGAGCCGTACACAAGTGATGAGCTGGACAGTGGGGCCCTTGTGGTCCTCTGCTATAGCCCCCTAACATGTCGAGGAGAGTCACCCTTTTAGACGTCTGTAGCTGTCCTAGTTCTGGGTGTATTGACCCTCGTCAAGAATTCTAAACGGAGAGGTCTCGGGGTCTGAGTCCTCATCTCACAGTTAATCTAAGCGGCCATTGACCTCAACAGAGACCCTGGGTTGAGAGTATTACAGTACTGCTAGTACTACTACTACATTACATTAAGATTAACCTAATACTCTGTCTTTTCCTTCGCTACAAGAGGTGTGAAAACCTTATGAGGGGAATGTAGCCGATATGTTTTTTTTTTTATTCTACAGCCAGGAAACGGTTGTAACTGGTATCTTGCCATCTCATCGTTGGACAAATGTTCCAAAGCGCAATGCAGACGTGATTAGTTAGAGGGGGCCCTTCCTTTTTAATTTCTTTCACCCCTCCCCTCCCAGCTCTGTGCTTCCCGTATAGTTACCCAACTCTCCCTCACACAATTTCCTTGTTTCTCTTTTTTCTGTAACACCCAGTTCCTCCACGCTCTTTGTCACATTCTCTGCCCTTCATCACTATCTTTTTAGCCCTTTTCCTCATCCTGTGTGTCCCTCTGTAATTCACCAGCAGTGTAAGAGAAAGCTCTCGGTAAACTCTTCTAAACTTTGGTGTTTGAGCTCCGGCTCCTCTGTACATTCTGATCCCCTGCCTTTCCCTTACTTTTGCAATGCATCGCCTTTCATTGTAAAACAGGAAGTGTCCCAAAACAGCCCCTTGCTGGCTACATTGACGCCTATAAATCCCATCAGACTCCTATTTTGTATTGATAAAGCCAGCTAACGGGAAAACTTCACCATACAGTAGTTTCTATTCTAGCTGGACTAATACCTCCTGTTTTACAGTGGACTCGGCTATGAATATAGCTCAACAGTCTATAGTGGCTTCATTTGAGGATCTGCTAAAGATAAATGGAAACGTGCGACTTAGGAAGCTGCAGCTCTCACCTCAGGTTCCTCAGGACATGAGCTTTATTGTTTTATGTGGTTGGGAAAAACAATGTCCTTCCTTTTTGTTATTCCAAATTGAACGAGTGCCCTTTTACTCCTACGCTTCTGTTCCTTATAGCACATTCTTCTTCCACACCCTGCTTGTTCTACTCCTTCAGAGGCAGCCATTCCTGTTGACACTGGTTGCCCTCAGAGTGAACATCTAAGGTGCAATAACTGCTTGGCCTCACATTACCCACCAGTCATGCTCGTCCAATGAAGAAATCAGGCTGCAGAGGCCCAGTTTAACTTCACCATGTGACACACAGACACATGGCTCTGTTTTATATATTTTTGGTTTATTAATTTACATGGTAAGTGGGAATAGAGACAACTTATCGTGTCTTATTTACTCCTTACTTCCTCGTATACTATATACACTAAGGAATGTCTTATAAAAGTCCAAATATTCAAGGACGAATGAGAAGATATAAAACCTAATGAAAGGTCTGACACATGACACAAGTGGTTCATATTTCTACTCCTCTATGAAACCTATGAAAGGATATTCAGTAAGCCCTGTATAGGTTCTCAGTGTACTTCTCGAAGCCCAACTGCAATACAATGCTACTGTTATTTTTATTGTTTGTGGGACTATATTGTTACACATGTGTTAGAAAAGTAATCTGGGGCATTTTTATTTATTTTTTTATTCCTCCAAGTACTTTACCCCATCCTTAAGGATGGGGTAAACCTCGAACCAATCGAGGTTTTAATCCCCTGATTGGTTCGGAGCCGTACAAAGAGCCCTCACAAAAGGCACTCACTGCCTCAAAGGCACTCACTGGGCCGACGCCAAAGTCCTCCACTTATTTCATCCTGATGAACCTGACTGCACAGGATGTTTAAAGGACATGCTGCAGAGACTTGAATAACTCTCAAGTCAACCAGTTTAATTTATCGCTCCTCTGTAAGCAAATAGCGTCTCCTCCCTAGCCACACCTCTGCTCTTACTTGCCCGAGCCACTGCGTTTCAGTTTGAAGCAACAACATGGAGAGAAATTGAACTGAGGGTGAAATTAATTTTAGACACCTGCGGATAAAACATCTTCGGTCTGACGACACACAAGCAGGACAGACAAGCAAGAGCTGAACTATGCAATCATGGTGTGCGATAGTTTGGTGTGTTTTTTTTTCCTCTTCCACCTGCAGATCAATGCTCCAGACTGCATTTGATTGGGCCGTGAATAGTGTTCCTACACTTTTGCTTCATCGTACTGCGTTTTAAGATGATCACACCTTGGTGTAATTCTCACAATGTCTTCGCCCTCCTCTCCCTCTGTTCTCTTGGAATTCGTAATCGCATCCCTTTTGTATCGGTGATCCTTTTCCCTGATTTTCCCCTTCTCTTTGCCCAATTTCCCCCACACCATCTACCAATGCTCTCCACTCTTTCCTCTGTTCATTCATTCACTCATCTCTCACTGCCTCACCCCCCCCTCCCCACAGCCATCCACAGTAGTAAGCTGAGTCGGACCCATGTGGACTGGCACAGCGTGGATGAGGTGTATCTCTACAGCGATGCCACTACTTCCAAAATCGCACGCACCGTCACCCAGAAACTGGGCTTCTCCAAAGGTCTGTAATCTACACATTGTTTTTTATCTTTTCCGTTAAGGTTCAGAAACATGATCAGTCTGTATTTGTTTGTGCTAATAATTACACTATTCACCACCTTAGTTTCTTTTGTGCGCATACTAACAGTTGCTAACTAGTTCCTACTCTTCTGCCCATCGAATACATGATATACTTATTGACAGTGTGTCCCCATTTTCTATTACTCAACAGTTGTTTAAACATGGCTGTGTACACTTCAGTCTCTTAACTGGATTAGCCCAGAAAACCACCCAGTGTCCATCTGCTATTCCCAGGCAGGCGGCAGCTGCGGTTTGACCCCATGTTCGACGTTTTGATCTGTATGGATGACTGTAATCTGATCCACAGCTGTACTGTGCATTTTCATCTCCCGCTCGCAGATAATAAGAGGAGCTGTCGCTGGCTATGTCGACCTCCTCTGCCTCACGCAAATGCTCAGTGAGGGAAATCTCCTTTAGTGCTATCTAGACAGCAGCACATGACTGGACGAGACTATAGATTCTAAATGGGGACACGCGGTCAACCCTCGAGGCACGTTACAAGTGCTGGCACAGTCACGGTAGTTATCTCACCTACTGGCCTCTTTGGACTCAGAGCAGCACGTTACTTAAACACACACAGATATTTATAGCCTTCTGGGGATTGAACATAGTCGGGATGTGTGTTTGTTTTTTGTTTTGCACAGAAAATACTTTACAAAATGTAGATTTGTTTTGCTTTTCTTGCTGTACAAAACTCCCTTCCAATCGCTAAATACAGTAAGTAACAGTACGAGCCTGTGATCTGTCCTCTCCCAGCATCCAGCAGTGGAACGCGGCTTCATCGGGGTTTTGTCGAGGAGGCCTCACCTGAGGACAGACCTCCTCAGACTACACACATCGTCTTTGTGGTTCATGGGATTGGACAGAAGATGGACCAAGGACGCATTATTAAAAACACTGGAATGTGAGTTTTTATAACACATAATGGGATTGAGGATTTGCTTGTATGCATGTTGTTTTATATCGGTAAAGCTACAGAGTTTTTCACTTTTGTTCCATTAGACTGTGAAAGCAGTTTTAAATTTATTCGCACACTGTATCGCACACGCAACCAAATCTAAGTTTAAGAAAAAAATCTTCCTCGGGTGGCGAAATGTTTGAAATGCCATAAACTGTGTTTCTTTTCCTCTTCTTTTCCTCTCTCTCACTTCTCATTCTGTTTTTCCTTTTCTAAAGAAAGCTCACTTCTTCTTTCTTTTCACCTTGTATATCTACAACAAAAGCGCAACAACATCTTGTTCTTTTAGGAGATTTCCGTGTGTTCTCCACCCTCCCGATGATGCACGTTGTGTTTTCATTAACCGGTCTGGCAGGTTATTGCATCTACAAATAACCTTTTTATCCAGCGCCATCGCCAAGTATGCAACTTGTGTATTTGTGGAATGCGCAGTTACAGTTTTCACAGAACAACTTAGGCACTGCTTATTATATATTCACAGCTGAATTGGAGTATAAGTAGCATATTACTGCATTTAGTAAATACGGTGTACATGTAACAAACACAAGAATACTCATTCATTGTTGACCTACATTTCATTCATCACTGCTCATGAATAGTTAGTTTGCGGAGTGAAAAACGAAAACATTTGTCACCGTTGGAGGGGCCAGGCTTAATATTACAGTGGCACTGCCCGTCTCCTGAGAATCACCATTGAATGTCTCACACTCCCACACCTCATCTTTGTTCATCCAAGGCCACTCAGGGTGGAAGTTCTCGATAACACTGCACCTGCACTTTTTGTATTTAGTTCTCCCCTCTCTTCCCATCTGTTTCACCCTCTGTCTTCTCCTGCTGATGTCTTATACACATTTGCCTGATACTTTGCATTTAGTGAGGCGAGTAAGAATATGCACGCAACACAACATTGTGAAATATATGTGGAGAACATAAATACCCTTTTACATCCTAATATCGGACAGAAATCTAAATTAATTAATTATATATATCAAACAACTGGGACTTATGCTATCTCAGTGTTAAAACATATGTAAATAACCAGTCACACCAACACCATTAATCCTTAGTTCAAGCTTTGCTTCCATGTAAATATACTTTCTAGTTTTCTACCACTCAAAGCATTGTACACTACATGTCAACATTCTCTCACACACACACACACACACATTAATACACTGATGGCATAGGCTGCCATGCAAGGTGCCACCTGCCCATCAGCATCTAATCTAAATGTCCATCCACGCACACTCGCACCGATGGCACCGCCTCGAATGCTTCGAGCAGCACAAATAAAAGTACATTTCTTCCCATTTTATTGGAATGCTGGCACAACCTTCAGAGACAGATGTCTCATAAACTTGGCACAAAATGATCAGCATGGCCTAATACTGCCAGCTGATCATTTAACCAGCCTGCCGCACTCTTTTTATTTTTCAAAGGCTTAACATTTGAGTGGGGAACTCTGTCAATGGTAGATATCTGTGTAAAGGCCACAGTGGGGAAGTTATAACAGGCCGCAACAATGACTTGATCGAGCAAACGATGTCTATTGTTCTCCTTTTTAAGAGGGAAACACCAGTGAAGTCTCACTGCAATCATCATCAGTGTCCAGGATGTTGATCAGTTTTGAACTGTGACTCAAGCGAGGCACAGTCCTTAGTGTGACGTACTGTGTAAAGACATGACCCCCGACCCTGAATGGCACCGCTACACTGGCCCTGGACCGCGAGCATTTACAGGCCGTAGTACAGAACGTGCGGACCAGAGCCATGTGTGTCTCTGTGTCACTGAGTTAGCGCCGGGCCACTGGCTGCGGCTTAGGCCAGCTAAGCAGTTAAAGTAGACCAAGTGAAGCTGCAGAGCACTTTAAGCCTCACTCCCAGCTCCCTGTGGATTACAGCATACAGGCTTTCACCAGCCAAGAGGAAAGATCAACTTGACGTGTCCAGCCAGTCCGCTTGTTTTGCTTTTATTTAATTTTTAAAACTAAACTAATGTCAGCTCCGTGCCTTTCTGAGACTCATCAGCAGCAGTGTAGGGAAATTGTGGAGGGTTTATGGTATTATTATCCTCTTAAACATAAACAGAGTGTCCTTTTTAGCTAAACTTAGTATGTTTAAAAAAAAATTTAAAAAAAAAAATCATTGCCCAATCAATACCAATGTAAGAGCTAGTGGGAGCAACACAGAAAGCTCTGTAATGCAGTGCTCCACCCTCTTGAGAATTGATAGACAGATAGTCCTGTCAAAACTTGCATTAGGTGCTCCATTCACAAACCAGTTGCCTAAAAGCCTCCATTTACCCATGTAAACACCCGACCTCACCTCTCTCTCTCTTTGTGTATTTAGAGTGTCCTGTGAGCTGATGCTGCCCCATATAGGAGTAGTAGCATTGCTCTGTGTGTGTGTGTGTGTGTGTGTGTGTGTGTGTGTGTGTGTGTGTGTGTGTGTGTGTGTGTGTGTGTGTGTGTGTGTGTGTTGCATCAGGGAGTAGCAAAATGGGCATCATTCTCTTCTTACCGACGGTCATTAAATTGTGTGAGAGAACGAGTGCAAACACAGACTCCCTAGTCAGTCAGTAGCAGAGCTAATTCACTGCTGCCCGGGCAATGTGACGACGTTCATTGTTTATGAATCAAGCACTTAGCTTGCATTTTGTATCGAAATTGTTTTGGCAACAAGCAACATGTACCAAAAATCCACTCTTGTGTAATAAGGATGTCCGTGTGCAATGTTATCCTCACACACTTTATGGTCTTCTTTTGTAATGCGTCTCCTCAGGCTGAGGGATGGTGTGAGGAAGATGGAGGAGAAGCACTTTTTGGAGCACAACGACGAGCACGTGGAGTTCTTTCCTGTCGAGTGGCGCTCCAAACTCGCACTGGATGGAGGTCAGTCAGTTGTCTTTGAGACTGTGCTCACATGTGTTTGTTTACTCTGTTTGGTTTGTACTTTAATCGTGAGCAGTGTGTTAAGGCTGTATATGGTGGATTCTTCGGTCTTTCTTCTCCTAATGAAAAAGTTAATGAAGCGTAGTCGTGGTCATCCCTTTACAGAACTTATTATTTTTATGTACATTTAAGTATTTCTTTCTACTCTATGTAGTACACTGACTAAGGAGAAGTACCTCCTACAGCCGAACTTCAAATGATCAAAACTATCCCTTTAATTCCTCTCTGGCAGTGTCGATCAGAAACGGAACATTAGCTGTTTTATTGTTTTTGCATTAGACTTTGTAAGTATGGCTAACAAAGTGGCCACTGATCGTATGAAGTCAGGCACCATCGTGTGGCTTTGTTTTCGTAGATACGGTCGACTCGATAACTCCGGACAAAGTGAGAGGCCTGAGAGATATGCTCAACAGCAGTGCCATGGACATCATGTACTACAACAGCCCCCTTTACCGGGACGAGGTGAGAGTCGCGCACTTCCAAAAATAACTGAAATGGTACTTCTCTGTGACCCCACTATTTCTACTGAAACTCCTTCACTCCCTCCAGATTACCAAGGGCCTAACGCAGGAGCTAAACAGGCTGTACACACTTTTCTGCTCCCGGAACCCCGAGTTTGAAGAGAGGGGAGGCAAAGTGTCAATTGTGTCTCACTCGCTCGGCTGCGTCATCACCTACGACATCATGACGGGGTGGGATCCCGTGCGCTTCTGTCAGCAGGCGCATCACGCTGTGGAGGAGGAGCTGGACCTGCGCTGGATGTCCTACGAGGAGAAGCACGTTTTGGAGCAGCTACAGCTCACGAGGAATAGGTAGAGCTCGCTGACGTGGGTCTTCAGGGACTCCTAGCTCGGCCTTAGGGGTTGAATGTACAGTTGTTTTGGGGTGAATGTGGTCAAGATCTCCAAGAGCACACATAGCACTGTGCTGTTCATCACATGCTCCGTTTTCAGGTGGCAAATTGTGTTTCCTGCTTGTTTTTGCGAGGCGGCAGGGTAATGTGATACCTCGTGATCCAACGGAAGGGAAGAGGCTTTTAATATATTTCCCCTGCACCACCCCATCGCCCTGTTTGTAATGTCATTCAGTGTGCACACCGTTACTTTAGTGAAACAAGAAGCCGCTGTGAAAGTAAGTTAGTTGATCTACGCGGTACTGAGATGTTTTTTTGTAGCTGTTGGGAGAAATCAGTATATCTTGGTAGCTTGACGTTATAATAATGCATACATGGATATTTAGAAAGAGGGAACTTTCCTTAATGTTATCATATATTTATGAGCAATGTGTACCTTTTCTGCTTCTAACAGGTTACAAGAGTTGGAAAATCAACTCCTCACACTGGAAGCCTCTAAACCTCCAGCACGCCCAGCCCTCAAATTTAAAGTAAGATGCTATATTAGTACTGTAATAATTTGTGGTACAGTTGAATGTATATTATTTTCATGTGTCCATTATTACGAGAAAACAAAATATAAATGATTATCGTTCACAGCATTGTGTTCACAACAAATGCTATTGATGTCAATAGCAAGGACTCTCTTTAGGACATTTCTATCATCTTTTGTCTGGCAGGTGGAGAACTTCTTCTGCATGGGTTCTCCTCTGGCCGTGTTCTTAGCTCTGAGAGGGATCCGGCCCGGTACCAGCTGCCACCAGGACCACATCCTGCCCACCTCCCTCTGCAGCCGGCTCTTCAACGTCTTCCATCCCACAGACCCTGTGGTCAGTGTCCCCAGAGTACCCCAGCCCATACAGAGGCTCTTTCTCACTCAGGCCTGTGACACCAAGTCTAGATTTCCTTTTTCTTAATTCTTTTTGACTTCAGCCCAGTACACACATGTAGGGTGTGATTTTGCTGTTTTTACTGGACTTGCCATTTTCCACTGCACTCGGCAAAGGGAAACCAGGCCTTTCCAACTCACTCAGTAGGATGTTGAAATTGAAAATGTGCACTGTTTGCATTTGACAGCTGGAAGAAGTGAAGAAATGTATCTGTCCTGAAGGCTAACTGAAGTTGTATTGATGTGTTCAGGCCTACAGACTGGAGCCCCTCATCCTCAAACATTACAGCAACGTTGCACCTGTTCAGATACACTGGTAAGAACTTACGTCTTTTAGCACTTGAAGGTATTCCTTGTACGCACACTGAATTTTTTCAGAGTATGTATGTCTTAATCGTTTGGGGTTTCTTTTTTCTGTCAGGTGTAGCGCCATTAACCCCACACCTTACGATGAGTTCCGGCCTATTTATCTGAACCCAGTCAAAGACCCGACATCTGACACGGAGAGCATCCCCAGCCCGAGTACTTCTCCTGTACTCCTCCGCAGGCACTACGGAGAGTCCATCACCAACCTGGGCAAGGCCAGCATTCTGGGTAAGACACTGCCGTCACTTTTCAAATTCGGGTCCAAATTTGGCTCTCGTGGTGCACATGACTAGATCGGTCTTTTAAAGCTACCTCGTGGTGAAGAATGCAGTACCTAAACGTAAAATTGTTGAATAAGCCAATAAAAAAAACCATATTTAACTATCTAAAAATGTGTGAGGATAGACTGCTGTGATGATAATAGAGATAGATAATCTCTTTTTAATACATACAACGGCATAGGGAAATAACATGAGTTCTGACAGCAATGGGAGATGCTCCTTACTCCACAGGTAGAATCCATTCTCTCCTGTGTGTTTCAATATTTGTGTTCAATATAATGTGAGATACTCACTTACTACATCAACAGTGCCATCATGTGGCGGGATAGAGAATGGGTTTATACACTTTGCTTACCCTTTACTTTGAATTATATTGAATTTAGAAATAAAATAAAAGCAGAAAGAAAGGCCTCACTTGCATTCCTTTTGTTCCCTGAAACCTCAACCCACTCAGCATATCTCTTTTTCCGTCTCTCCTTCTACCACAACCAATGTAGGAGCGGCGAGCATAGGGAAGGGCATCGGAGGCATCCTCTTCTCTCGTTTCTCCCGCTCCAACAGCCAGCCGTCCGTCTCTTTGGGACTGGAGGGAGCAGCGAGCACTGAGGAAGAGGAGCAGAAGCGGACAGAAAGCCAGTCAGCATACGGCCTCTCCACCATGATTCGGCCCACCTCACCCATTATTGACACGTCATGTGAGTTCGCTTCACCTGTCCCGGCACTAAACAATCGTGGCGAACGTCTATCATTTGTTGGTGGGTTACAAATCAGTTCTGATGTCTCTATTTCTGTCTTACAGTGGAGCTGGAGCGGCGCGTTGACTTTGAGCTCCGGGAGGGTCTGGTGGAGAATCGCTATTGGTCAGCGGTGACCTCGCACACCGGTTACTGGTGCTCACATGACATAGCGCTCGTCCTGTTGACCTTCATATACAAGCAGAAGACCGCACCCTCAGACCCAGCAGAAGAGACTCCGGAGCCGGACTGAGGCGGCACATTCGTCACACTTGAATGGTGACTTATAACCCTGAAGGGGGGTTATGTCCACTTCTTGACAAGACACAAAAATAAACCTTTTATTTTTTTGATCCCGTGCTTTTAACTCGTGGGAATCATTACTGACAAACTGACTTAATTCCAAGATGTGCATTTTTGTCTTCTTTTTTTGTGTGTAGTTTGTACACAGTTGCGCACCCTAAGGGTGAGAATGTTGGACGAGGAACCCCTAAGGAGGTGCACCCTTGGCCAGTATGACCCCCCCAAGCAACACACAGACATGGAATAAGGGTCTAATAAGTTAAATCCACATGACGAGAGTTCTAAGTTCAACCCCAAATCTTCAACCTTAAACAGCTGCAGCCTGTTGATAAAGTGTCCATACAATTCCTGTTAATCAGTGCTTAAATTCAGCCCCCCCTGCAGACTCATGCTGGAGCCTTGTGACACACATGCCTGACCCTCGGTCACTCAGGCTTCGAGTTCTGCGTCTGTTCCTTTTACTTTTTTCTTTTTTAACTAGGAGAGATAAATATAATTGTCAAAATATTGTAATTTTATCTTTAAAATAAACCTTTTCGCTACTACATCTCAAAAACGTAATGCTAAACAAGCAAATGCCTTTCAAAATGATCCAAATAGTTTTAATCTTGCAGAATTCCTGTTTAGTTTTTCCAAACACAAACGTAGGCCATTATCCCTTTAACGATGTCTTTGAAGTATGAAGAAAGACATAAGAAACATTCAATTATTAGCTGTTGTTCTTTCTCCGATTCTTTTCATGTTTGCCTCTTTTTAACATTGTTTGACTCTTTAAATAGATTTGCACCAAATAAAACATCAACAAAGCGCCACTTTTATATACTGCACAGTCAAACAGCACCAGGCACACAAATGTCACAGCTAAACATCTTCAGTTCTCATGCGATGTTTGCTTTACATACAGAGGTTTACAATAATTGTTATTTTTAAACATTGATGTCATTCACCAGATTAGAGGTCTCACACAAAAGCATCAGTCATTTAAACTACTGCTTCTATGTTAAGCATAAGTTATGGAGAGGACTTTCTGTGCTATATCTTTATATTGATACCCAGATGAAATTAGGGGTACTAGATGTATTTTTTATTAAAAAAAGAAATATTTTTCCTAGTGATTTTCAGGCTCTTGTGGATATAAACCCGGATCTCATCTCTGGGGAAATGGGATTCAAAACTTGCGGCCAAATAACATTTACGTGTCTAGCTTATTAGCTGCTTGGCATTAGTAGTTTGAAGGCATATTTCACGAAGAAGTAATTAACCTAGGGTAAAAAAAAAAATAGCTTCTTTATTGTTTTGGATCTCTTTTGCCTTTTCTTGTGACCAATTTTCACTTTCCTCATTTTATCAATAGATGTGTCAGCTTGTCTCTTTATTTCTGTTTCTAGTCTTGGAAAAGAAACTAGACACCAGACTGGGTATCTGCCTAAATGACACTATTTGCAAATTTACTCCAAAAGAAAATGTGGACAGCTGGAGACACCGAATCAGGATTTCTGTTTTCTAAAAATGACATTTGCTGCTTATCGTGACTCTTGCCTTGGGTTTATCAGAGCCCTTATAAAAAAAAAAAAAAAAAGATCTGTCGAATGTGGTCCTTTTTAAAAACATGCCCAGTGAAGATTATGCAGAAGTTAGATCACATGCTCACTTTGCATGGCGTTATATTAATAGTACATGGATGCTGGAACAAGACGACATTGCAGAGAGTGCCAACACACATCTAAGAAACCACTCATGATTGTTTATGGGCTTCTGATGAAATCATTTATAAGACATTTGCAATGGATGAAGAAATGGAATTAGTCACATGTGACAGACTAAGAGATTAATGTCAGTGTCAACATTTTCTTTGTTTCCTACTTGTTATACTATCGTAGCTATCAAAGAGCTTCTTTTTTAATTTGCTTTTGGTGCAAGCCGCTGCTTTTACTTTTCCACACAATCAAGGGCTGTTGTTGACCGGTCTACCACTGAATGGAATCCATTTCTTGGTATTTAATATCTGTTTCATTTTTTTATGCAAAGGAAACCAGGCTGCCTCTCAGACGACCGGATAGGTGACAATAAGGGAGAGCGAAATCTGAAAGTGTTTCTATGTTTGGTCTGGTGGATCTCGCCCCTTTCATCAGCTATGAAATTGCACAGAATCGATGTAGAAAACAGCCCATTATTGATGTTTATTTCTTATTTTTTGCTGAGCATGTGTTACATTGCAGCAGTAGAAGCCGAACCCACTTTTAACACGTAACCTGGACGGTACAGGCTTGTAGTTTGCCTTGGAGACCTCAGACAATGTAATGCAAAATACAAGGACAATTCCATTGTGGCCTCTGGATCTTTAAGTCGCACTGTGTTAGGTTCAGCCGCAGCAAATACGTGATGTGAGAGTGTGGACAGACCATCCTAACAATGACAACAATGTTTTGTGTTTTTCCAACATGTATGTTGACTTTGCACATTTTTCATTCTCGCATTTATTGATTCGAGCACGGGTTTTCAAACTGTGTTATCTCTGCTCGCAAAGAAAAAGTAACTAAACTGGAGAGCATTTAACTTTTTGTCGAGACACGTCATACTTTTGACCACATGAGCATTTAATGCACAGCATTCTGAATGATAACAGTCTATTTTTATTTTATTTTTTTCTTGTTTAAAGGCACCGCAAGCGTCAGGGAAATGTCTGCTGTGACATGTTGTCTCAATCCATCACTGCTGTTGACATCAGTTTGAAGCCATTATTGAGAAAGAGAATTAAGTCACAGATGTGTTGTCAGCCTTTTTAATGTCCAGTGGTAAATAAAGAAGGGCCTGCAGCATAATGTAATCAGTCACTGGGTGAGAAAGAGAAAAGAAAAAAGAAAAGTATTGAAATTTATTGTGGGTTTATTGAATGAAATGTGTTCATTTTGTGTCAGGTACCACTGTTGCTCTAACTTTGAATGGATGTCAGGAAAGAGTTTGTGTCTGTCCTTAGAGCTGTGCAATAACCCATGCCTGTTATGGATTCTAACTGCCATCCAAAGCACTGTATTTATTTCCTTTTATTAAAGCATTTCTTTTGTTTTTGGATACAATACTACTTCTTAATCTGTCCTATCCCACGGACAATAGTGGGGGAAAGAAATAATTGAATTTGGACTCTGTTTATGCTGTCGCGTAGGAGGCTGAAATCACCAGAGGAAGATAGTCTCGTTGCTCATTTCCAGCCTGGTTCAGGCGGAACAATAGAGCTATTTGTTCGTCTGAAACTCAGATCAGATTCTTTCCAAGGCAGCCCCTGGTGTGAATAACAAAGCTGACTTATGGATCATGAATAGGCTGCATTGTAGTCCACGAGCAGTCGTGGCTTCCACATGAGTTAATTGTGCTTTTATTGCAGTTTAGCAGCATCTGCAAAGGCCAGGCTGCACAGATGGGACCGTTTAGAACAGAGGTGGTTCTCATACATAATGCATTTGGCCCTGCTGTTCTGTGTTTGTCCAGAAGAGGTCAGTCATCTATAGGTAATGCTGGAACAAAGACCCCCATTCACCATCTGTTGTCCAGCACCCTTTCTCCATTCCTATTTCCATCTATTGCCCACAACTTATTGAGCTATTTTGATAAGTGTTAATGCTCTCATTTATGACTTGATCAAAGGCTGTTTACATGCAGAAACTCACTCGTTTAATATCACCAACTACAATCCCAAAGCTTAAAAACTGACTCCCGCAGACGGTGTAGACCTCCCCTCACATCCTCCACCCGTCTTTCTCCTCTTCACCTCATCATCGTCAGCAGCCAAGCCATGCTCTCCCTCTCCATCTGACTCTCCTGCTCTGCATCTGACTGACTCAAATGTTTACTCTGCAATTAAAACACGGCCTATAAAAGGCAACGGGTCGGGTGCCAGACACTGACGAGGGGGTCGGAGCTGCAGGGAGAGGAGTTATAAATCGCTTTGATGCCGGGCCGTATAGTCTGAAGAACCAAGATTCCTGAGCTGGAGGATTGGAGCTGAGCGAGTTCACCGGCATACGGAGCCAGAAACACTGATGATTCATGGGCCTTTACTGCAGACCACTTGGAGAGCATGTGATGGAGTGTGTATTGTGGAAAGAGAGGAGACAGCAGCCTTTCTCTTCTACCCTTTCTCCCCCTCCCAGCTGATCATTTGTTTGAAACCATTCGTAATTCATCTGCAGCAGTGAAGACATAAGCAGCAACCTGCAGACAATATCATGTTCAGTGCATTTAATGGACGAACAAAGCCATGAGCTTCACACACTGATGATATGCTATTGTATTCTCTTACAGTGACCCCCCCCCCCCATTACAATTTGGAATTTGGTGCAAATAGGGAAAAGAAAACATTAAACACAAGATGTTGACATGCAATGTAACAGGGCTAGATGTCTGACGAATATTAGCAAAACAGGAGAAGGAGTTTAATATGTGAAATTATAGGTGAAGTACTATTCACCGTACTTAACTATAACTTGGAAACGCTGGTACATTACTTTCCATCTCTCCATCTTGTGAGAAGTTACATTTTTCTGTAACTGCATGTAGGCTACATGTTACTTTCCAGAATGTGATTTTATATTAGAAAAACAATTTCTTAACTTTAAAACCCAAAATAATTTGTGAAATATGTTTGTCAAACCTCCACCTGGACCAGCTATTCAGCATGCTGCTGTAACATAATTTGTTGTGTCAGGGTTGAAAGTAGATCTCTGGTTACCTTGGCTAATTTCTAAATGAATTAGTCTACACTGAAAGGACAACAAAAGTGGAGAAACACATAAAAGGGACATTTTGGAGAAACTTGTCGGTTATTAAAGCTGTAAAAGTGACAAAACCAGAGTGCCTTGTTGTGTTTGTGCCGTTACTCCCGGGGCTAAAGACCCAAAGGTCCCCGGATGCTGCTGTCAGGCTCAGCAGCATTATTGCCATAAAAGGCAGCTTGAGATCTTCACTGCATGTCCATCATCCACATTGAATGTTGTACTGTAGAGGGCTGCAGTTCGAAGAAATCTGTCAATTCTGCAAGTTTGTACACGTCTTTTCCCTTTTCTGTTCACATTTAAATACTGTGTTGTTAAGAGTTATTTTATTCATCTTTTTTTTCACAAAGCCAACAGTGATATTGACTCTCACATGAACACATGTTGTTGGCAGATAGTTCTTAAAAGTATTTTAAGAAGGTAAATATTGTTTACACTTGCCAGCACCTGTAATCACTACTTAAGGTCCAGAATAAGATTTAATATTCAATTAAATTATGCAATGTTATGGATTTCTGTAGTATGAACACCCCAAAATGTGGAAAGCGTTATAAGAAACAAAATCACATGAACATGTCTGTAGTGGATTACAGAAGTGGAAAATATTTTTGATTGTTTTTGACTGTTTGAAGATGTGTTAAGGCTGAATATCAGACCAATTTACTGGTAAAACAATGATTCATTTATTTAAAAAGCATGACTTGTAGACCTACAAAGAGGCTCTCCGGTGAACAATAAAAAAGGTCAAAAGAGAGAAGTAACCCACAGTTCCCACTCCTGTGAAATCCCTAAATGTGTGTGTGTTAAATGTGTGTGTGAGGTGACAGTGGGGCCAGTAGGGGACCAGCAAAGCTCCCAGTATGAAAGGAAAAGTGGGATTGGAGCGGTGACGTTATATGCTGCTGGAAAGAGGGAGGGAGAAAGAGAGACGGCTGGACTCCATTAAGCCGAAGCCTGCGGGAAAACTGTTTGGGATACTTCACTTCTTCAGCGACTTCTTCGGGCATTTCTTTCCGTTTTAATTGTCTCAAAAAGACGGTATACATGATTTAAAGAGGGGGGACTTGTTCCGCACCGTGTAGTCGACTGTTTTAGTGTTTTCTTTTCGTCTTTGTGAAGGTGAGTACACAGATTTAAATGTTCCGTCCTCAAAGCTGCTAGTTCGCCGCTGTGAAATATGAACATGTTTTTTTTTGTTTGTCTGGTACATTTAACCGGCGCTTCAACCAACAACTCTTTTGCTAATTTTTAGCCGGTTTGTTTGATTTTTTTTTTAAACACACTTTCCGCTTGAGCTTCTGCTTCAACGACCGACCGACTGAGTGAGTGTGCATGTAGCCGAGGAGCTGTTGTACGGACTCGGCTTACATTAGTAACCCCTCTGCCTATTTGTAAGAGTGCCTTTACCGTTATTTTCTTTGTAACAGGTGAACTGGCACTTTATCGGAGATACTAGCGGCCAAAGGTCCTCGCTGAACTTGTAGCAGCGGTCCTACAGCCTTTTGTTTGCCGTGTTTATCGATTAGACTGCTGCTTTTTGATCGCCTGGCCACTCTCCAGCCGGACAACATCACATCAAAGAATGACAGATGGGCTATAATGTAACTTTATTTATTTTGTGGCAGTGACTTCACACATCAGGGCGCGTCTTATTCCCAGCAAAGAGCACGAGGAGAGCCACAGCGAGGTTCACCTTCGTCCCTTTTTTTTTTTTTTTTTTGTCTAAATCGTCCGTGAGGGTCAAATATGCTTTAGTGAGCTAAGATATCTCATCTGCCGCCACTATAGTGTATTCATAACCGTATGCAAATGTTGGAGGAAGTACGTCATACTTATAGAATAGAGTGAAAGAAGCAATGGCAGAATGGAAAAAATACTCCATAAGCAACAAGTTCTGCTTT